CATTTCGAGAGGGTACTGGTGAAATAAGATTTAGTTATGTAGTATAAGTTTAATTTGAAGATATTTTTCACTAGAGAATAAACTCGGTTGAAGAATCATAGAAAATCAGAGAACAATAAAGCAAGTATTTTGTTCCGAATTGAGATTCTTCAGTAGTTCATGCGACCTCCAACAAGATCAAAATAATAACAACTCATTTACTGAGTATAGGTTTATGTACCCGACTCTTAGCTACATATACTTATGTGAAATCAAAAGAAACTACTCAATTGCTTATCATAACAAAGTTGAATGGAGTTTGAATCGAGGTTACTTGTCTCATGATGAACATAATATGACTAACATAATAAGGAATCGAAGTTCAATGATCCACATTTACAACTTCAGTTAATTAAAGGCATAGAGTATTAACAGAAAAATTATGAAATGCAAAATGATTTTTTTACTACTGATAATTACTTAAATAAAATTTGAAACAGAAAATTATGTATTCATAAAGATCTTAGCGATTGAAATCAAACACTTTCAATGTTTCACTAGAGAGTTTAGTCCTGGCTTATTCAAGGTAAATTACTTCATATAATTGACTGAGAGCCAATTTTGTTGTTGTAGATTTAGTGTTCGATAATTGTGAAATAAATACTAAACAACTGTTTATTGCTTCCAGGTTTTCAATGATCGTGATCTCAATGAAAAATTCAACAATCTCCACAACCCCTATCCATAATGACATTATGAAATTATTCATTTAAAACAGAACAAATGTTGTTATTCACACCAAATAATAATAACATCATGGATACCATACCCAGTTCAATGAGTATATTAAAACTTCCTTTATCCTCATAAGGATACTTTGGTATGTGAGGTTGTTTTGCACCAAGTAAATCCAATAAGACAAGAAGATCCTATCGATTTATTTTAATTTAAAAAAAAAAGAAAAACACAATGAAAACACTATATTATATTATGCTATAAATCAATATGAAATGTGTTGTGACCAAACAATATACTGTTAGATATTCAAAAATGTTGAGAACGTAGAGTTCAAGTTTTTTTTTTTCTAAAGAAAATCCATAATACATTGCAATTGGTTAGTAACAGTCTATATGTTCAAAATCTACATAATTACCTAAGAAAAATTGTATAGATTGATGTAAAAATGAATAAATCTCTTATTTAATCACGTTAATAATCAATAATCTGAGAAACAAATTATAGATTTATCCGTATATTTTTATAGTGTTTAACCATTAACATTTTGACATATACTTCTTTCTATTTAGAATATATTAGTCAGATGTACCTGGATTTCAATGTTACAGTCTATGGTTCAAACTTGTCAGCTATCACTTTAAAACACTAATGTTGTCTACTAAACCAATAGTTACGATGACATTCAGCTTGTCCAACGGGTTTACAATGAAAAGAAAAATAAAATAATTCAGTTTTAAATAAAGTATGGTTACTTCGTTTTTATCAATATTTCATTATTTGACAAATTGACTATTTCAATAGTTGAAATCATGAGTCGATTGAAGCTAGACCACCATGGAAAATTCGGAAGCACTGGACGGCCGTTTCATCCTAGTATGGAACTCCTCAGCAGTGGATTGGTTGGAGTTAGACATTAACACCGTTGGATGCCGGCTCAGTGGTCTAGTGGTTAAGCGCCCGCACGCGAGACTGATAGGTCCTGGGTTCGAACCTCGTCGGGGGCGGGATCCTGGATGCGCACTGTTGAGGAGTCCCATACTAGGGTGAAACGGCCGCCCAGTGCTCCCAGGTTTTCCATGGTGATGGTTTAGCTTCAACTGACTCATGATTTAGACTACTAAAATTACTAAAAGCTCCACAAAACCCCTTCTGAAAATTGACTATTGTTTTTAACTATAAACCGTCGGATTCCTCTGGTTTAAAAACAATGTCTGCATTACAAAAATTAAGGATTCTTAGTTCACAATTTCTGGTAGATTTGTGGGTGCAGGCTGCATGTAAGACCCAAATTGATACCGAAAAGCCACTCCCAACTGTGTCATTGGCCTTTATTTTCACTGAAAATGTTTGTCATCTTTTGAGTTCTTCCACAGAAATACATAAACACGAAATAATCTAATGCATTCTTCTGTATGTCAGACAGTTAGATGTAATTAACAGGTAACTATATACCTGACTCATGTTAGTTAGTCCTCATCCACTCTGTGGATTTCGAAACTGACTCAATTGGTGTCACAACTACAGATGTTACTACTGAGCTGTTCTGGATGCTAATAATTTCCTGTAGGATTGAAATATTAGCATAAAATTGTATGTAGGCTTTATTTATTTAATTATTACAATTAACTCATTAGAAAGAACCAACATAAATAAGATTGTCATAATGACCTATTTAATTTCTTCAGGTCACTTAAGAGAACAATTTCTATTGATGCAATTGGTTCCCGTTACGAATTTGAATAAGCCCAAAAAAAACAATTGAGGCAGAATAACATGGATTTGTGATATTTCATGGTTTCTCATCAGTTTCTTACAACCCTATATACATTAAAATGTAACATTGAGGTATGGTATAATGTGAAACAATTGATGACAGAAAGAATTAGAATGACAAGGATTATCAATGATTATATGTATGAGACAGTAATTAAATGAAGTCCAGAAACAGATAAGATAGACTGTTTGATAATTATGAAAATTGTGGAGAATTTACAATCATTTAAATATAGATATAAAGGACATTTAGTTACGGGTTGGTAATTGTCTAGAATTAGAAAGTGATAGGATGGGTTAGGCATAAATTGAACAGGATTTGGGGAGTTTATATAAGTTTAGAGAACTAAGTGAATGAAACAGCCGATAAATGGAAGGATAAGTTTAGTGTAAATAAAGTAAGAATTAAGTTGGCGAAGATCACACAGCAAAATAAATATGACCATAAAAATAACATATAAATAAATAATGAGTTACCACGGTAATGATAAGTTGATTACTAAAAGTAAGAAAGATTGGCCTAGAGAGGTGTTCTTTTATTGCGGAAGCAATCCTTTTATTTTAAGATTTGGTGGGTATATTCCGTTTACTTTAGTTATTTACTAACTGTTTCTCAATAAATAAATCACGTTTGTGATTCTTTATTACTACTACAGGTTGTAAGCAGCTGATGAGAACCTACGAAATAAAATGAATTCATGCTATTCTGCTAGAATCTTTGTTCTTGCTCTTTTCAAAATGATAAAGGGAACTATGTTTATGAAATACTACTACTTTGGTTAACCGGAGAAACGCTCCACTTATTTGTGTTCCTCGATAGTATAGTAGTGAGTATCTCCGCCTGTCACGTGAAAGTGGTGTTTTTTGCGAAGTTGAGAGGACTAAAAGCGAATGTCCATTACTTTAAACGGGCTCGTGGATATGGAGGATCCACCTAGGGGAGTTGGAAAATCCTGATTTCAAACCAATCGTGCACATGGGCTTCAGAATCCTGAGCGAAAGAAATGCCGTATGAACCAATTGTTAGTCACCGGCTATCATGTGACTCCATCTCCTGACGTTGCTCCACTGTTTTCTTTGGATCAGACCTTTGATTCGAAGGCTCCGGGTGTAGCCCCTTAAGAAAAACAACAGGCTTCGGTCTGGATATCCGGGTAGTATCACAGTCCACATACAAATCAATTTACTTGTGTGGCGCATATTTATTCTGTGCCTCTTTGTACCAATATTTATGTGTTCAAATGATAATAACAGTAATTTTAAAGAATTTTAGGATGTCAAAGGTGTGTCCGCATTCAATTAAATGCCGAGCTATTGAGCTGCTTATAGACGTTGCGCCCCTCAGTTTCAAATCCTTTGGAACGTGCCCGGAAATTCTAACATTTACTCATCTCTCTGTTATTCCACTGTAGGCGCTTTGGCACGTACATGTAAATTGGTAAATGCAGTTGGAAGTACTAAGAAATGAGTTTTATTTATTTATTTATTTGAACACATAAATATTGGTACAGGGGGGCACCAAATATATATGCGCCACACAAAACAGTGATAATTAGAAGAGAAGGAGAAAAGAGAAGAAAAAAAAAAAGTAATGAACGTGGGGAATTATATAAAAAAAAAGAAGAGAGAGAGAGAGAGAGAACAATGGTGGGGGAAACGGAAAGGTACAATCAGAACAGATCTTTCAGTTAAGGAAGAATACGACCACCTTTTTTATGAAGAAAGTAAACGAAGGTTACAGCAGGATCGCCACTGGCTTCTATTCTGAGCCATATCTGATAACGTCTCTAGCCACTGCGTTACACCATCTCTCGGACCCCAACCAGGGAGTCGTGAAGGACCAACATAAGCTAGCCCTTTGCAGCTTTCTTTCATACCACCAAAACATGATGAAACTAAGAAATGAGAACCTGTTAGTTTTTGTTTGTTTGAGTGAGTGAGAAGTTTGCTTCACGTAATGGACGGATAATCAAACTTCAACGCAGCATTTATCCTGTGGTTAATTATTCCAATGATTACATCTTTTTTGAAGTGCAGACATAAAAAGTGGGTTTTCTTTACCACTGTACAATATTTAACACGTACGCTGGTTCTGGTATACTTCTCGATGAACTTCGCTGGATCTGCATTTTCATGTAGGCAAGTTGTAATGAACGTAAATTCTTCTTCCAGGCTTTCTTTTGAGCAAGGTTTATGAGCACAGTCAAAAAGGGTTTGTACAATCCCCTTTTTGTATCTTACTGGACAAAAGCTGTTATAATTTACATAAACTTCATTCCACGTATTTTTGCGGTGGATGTATCTTTGTAGTGTGCTGTTTGAAGTTCGTTTGATTCTAATATCTAAGAAATGGAGTTTACCTTCAACTTCATGTTCCATAGTAAAATCTATATCATTGTGTCCTTTGTTAAACAGACTGAGTATGTAAATAGAACGCTTCTGATTGCTGCAGATAAGAAGTGTGTCATTAATATATCTACGACAGAGTATAGTTCCTTGCTATTCTAATTCTTTCTGTCATCAATTGTTTCACATCATATCATATCTCAATGTTATATTTTAATGCATATATGGTTGTAAGCACCTGATGAGAAACCATGGAATATCACAAATTCATATTATTCTGTCTCAATTGTTATCTTCGCTTTATTCAAATTTCTATTTAATTAAATTCTAAACAGTATGAAATCAGGATGTATGATAAAACATTATTCATTAGACAAACTATGACTACAGTATATCTGAATTACTTACAATTTTACTCAATTCTGTTTCATTAGATGATTTAGACGTTATTTTACTCCATTTTTCAGCTAAATGTCGAGATCCATACAAGCTATCACTATGTGTCCACATCTTGAATGCTTCTTCTCCATCAAAAAATATCAGCTTCAAACCAATATCAGATTTCTATGAATAGAAAGAAGTGATTATCAAATAAATGTTGAGTATAATCAATTTAGGATTATTCAGTAGTATAAATACCTAATTTTTTTCTAAATACACCATAATTTCAAAGATTTGTAAGGATTTCCACGATAGTAAGAAGACGTACATGAACATTTTGCTCTTTGATAATGACCTTTGCTGCGCATATCACTAATTTACCTACAGATAATTAAATCATCCAATAACAAAATGTAATCAGTCATTCGATTGGTCTGATATTCTAATTCACATCATCAGAAAGAGATCTTAAAGTAAAAGAAGTGAAAATCAAAAGGATTAAAGAAAAAAGTGTAATGAACGATGATTTGGTTAATGAAATCACCTAGTTGTATAGAGCAAAATCACTGCATTTGTAAAATATGAAAATAATACATTGAATACAACATTTGCACATTTTCTTTGAATTGTCTTTCACAAGCTCTATCGTTCTTTCATTCTTCTTGCTACTTGGATTATTTCTGTTTTCCTTTCTTTTCTGTCAGCAAGAATCTTACTTCCGACTATTGATGCATACATCTGTTCGTATAGGTAGCACATATCATACTAGTAAGAGATCAAACTAGACAGTGAGAAGTATGGAACGATATTGGAAACTCAATGTATAGTGCAATATAAATAGTGTATCTATTTATATGACCGAGATTGATTTTGAGCCATATAATCTAAGGTGTGTGTGATCGTTAACTACTTCAACTAAAAAGTCTGTCTCATAACAGATGTCCCAATTCAACAGTAAATAACCTTGAGGATTCAGAATATGTGATGATCTAATTGTCATTAGTCTTTTCTACAGCTTACTCTTATAGTAGTTTCCATTGCATGCTGGGGTAAGTTGTGGTCAGATGTAATATATTCCAGCCACCTTAGTCAATGAAGATTTACAACATCTTCGGCTGATCTATTTTTACTTAGTACTTTACTTCTGGTTATAACGTTACTCACTGTATGATTTCACCGTATGTGAAGAATATTTCAAAATAAAAACAAGTCTTATATAAAATCAAAAGGGATCTAAATATTTGGAAGTTTGTTTGAAATTATAAACTTGATAATTTTTTTAATATGAAATCCACAAACACACACACACTGACTGCATTTTCACTGGAATATTTAGTTCTAATTTATAGTATTAATTAATTTTTGATGAGATAATATAATCTGTCATCAATATAAACAGTCCATTTGAAATAGATTTTACATGTAAGAAATTCTAGAGGTGTTATGATGAAAGAATATCGGTTACTTCGTAACGTGACAATTGTTACTTACTATGTAACCCGACTATATTAACTTCATTAAATACTTTTTATTACAAATGACACTTAACGATATTTGTAAACTCAGTCTTCTAAAAACCATTTAGTTGAGGAATTCCGATATCTAAGTAAAATGATGATAAGTTGAGATTTGTAGCTCAGATGGATGATTTCGATGAAGTTTCATTCTCTTCAGGTAGAAGTTTGTGTTGATGTTGTTTAAACGAATAATATATAGCGTAACCAAAAAGTAACTACGTAGAATAGTACAACAATGATTGTCATTTTCTAGTGGTTTCTCTCAGCTAGATATTTTAATTGAAAAACTTTGATTGTCGTTCTGAACAGTTTTATCAGTGTTTACTTCAAACTGGAATAAGGTCTTCAAAACTATTCCACTTTCTCAGAATTACTTCTGTTCTAACGATCTTGTTTATGACTTGCTGTTTTGGTAGGCTTTTTAAGATTGTAATTTACTTTCATATTCCGGTCAACTGATTTGTTAGTCTGATCACTGACGATGTTATTGATCGACTTTATGGGTAGACCAGATTTATGTCAACACATCTGAGGATTACACATTGACTTAAATTTCATTCTTCGATAAATTTTATAGCATTTCTGTGATCTCTACGATAAAGAATTTTGATATTTATTCAATAAATTTTAAGTCCGTAGTTGACCATATTTATTTATATAAGTGACGATAGCTGTAACTACTTATTCATATGTATGTGGAGTAGTCCTCTATTTCATCTAATTCAGCGCTTTTTATAGATCATGAAACAGGTCTTTTGAATAATGAAGGACATATATTATTTAGCTATTGCATCCTTTGATCAGAGTAAAGTAAAATGAAGTATATATGTCAATTTTTAAGCAAAACCATTTTTAGGAGGTTAACAAGCCCTAGTGGTTAATTCTGAGGTATTTTTCATATTTGAGAAAATGATTCGTCGCTGGGTTTCTATAGATGATTTTGGGGTTGTAGGCTGATTTTTTAACATCCTTATATGAAGTTGTGAATTTATTCTTTCAAAAATGATATTGGCAAAATTATGCAATTGTTAATATCCAGATAAACCTGGAAGTATCAAATTAGGCCAAAAAATCACTAGAAGGAGACATCAGTGCCAATATTAAGGTATTTCAGTCACTTGTTATATTTGTTAAGAGATTATTAATCTTTATAGACAATACTGGCTGATAAAAGTAAACGATTCTCAAGAGTTTTACTTGTATCTTTCGGAATTTGATTGACTGTAAATGCAAAACGTTTTTGTCAATCCTATATTTTATTTCATAAACTGAACTACTTTTATTAGTCTGTTAAGGTTTATATAATTAAGGTGTGTATCATGAACAACTCGGTTAGCAACTCCTGACTAAGTGTAATTGGGTTACAAGTATAAACTTGACGGTTTCTAAGTAAAATTTTTATATATTGCTGATTAAAATATTATTTCTCACGGTTTGTTTCAAATAACATCTCGGTTATGTTGTCGAAAAAAGTGTTTTACCTGGTTTAAATTAATAAAAAATATATAATAATCACAAAAAGTAAGCAAAGAAACAGCTCCATACCTTCAATGCTTTAATCCCATAATTTAGTAGGTCGACAATTTTCAAAATCATTGAACAAGGCATTGCTGAATCTGTTGATCCAACAAAATTAGGGAGAAGTTTTGATTCATAATGACAAGCCAAAATCAAATATTTCTTATAGTTTGTGTCGTTTCTGTAACCAATAATGTTATGAAATGTTTTAACACCATCCACTGTATTTTCTTCAAAAGTATCCAAATCAGTTTCCCAACTGCGATTGCTCAGATAATTTCTAATAAACTTCATTTAACGTAGTTAAACTTGTGTTAATACACTTACTTCTCTAACTTTAAGGTGACCAGGGCTGCCAACATTACGAATGATATTGATTTCGTTAAAAATTCGTTCCAAACTATTTTTTACTGAATGATTCCTAAGTCTTGTAAGCATATAATCTGGTGTCAGTTCATGGTGTATGATATCACCCTATATTAACAGGAAATACTAAAATTATCTCTAGGATACTAGTTATGCTTTTGTAAATTATCTAAATTTATTCAAGTTAAACTGAACGGAAAATCAAAACATAATCCGGAAAATGAATATCTCAATTAGACTGTCATGATATATATAGAATTCATATTACAAAACCATACCTATTACATAACAGTTTGACTGATTGCATCACGTGGCAAGCGCTAACTTGGAATCGTGAAAAGAAATGGAAAATAGGAGGGCCAAAGAACACAATGCATCGGAAATTGTAAGCAGATATGAAAAAGTTGAATAGCAGATGGAAAGGATCGACTAGAAGAGATTTGGATGGAGAGTGTTGGTGGGAATCCTATGCTCATCTATGAGAGGTAACAGGCGTAAGTACTTAGTTAAGCACGGTCTCTTCATAAGATTAATATCAAAACTTCGACTGCATGAATTTTTATCAAATCATGTTATGAAATCAACAGTAAACCCTCTAGCATTTGTGATCACAAACGTTTCACTTAACATGATAACGTCAAATTTTGGTTTACCATAAGACGCATTTTCACAGACCAAACACAAAGTAGCGTAGTAATGGTAATTCATCCGGAAAATGCAATCATTAAAAGTTCCAAAGTATTAAGAGGATTCTTTCACCACTACACGATTTGAAACAGTTTTAACAGGTGTTACATTAGACAAAAAATCCAGGTCTTAAAAATAAGTGACCATATGACTGTAAACTGGCTGATACTATAGCAAAGAAAAATTTACTTTAGGATCTATAAATGTACGCGTTCATCAAACAGTTGTGGATCCAACGAGCAATAATCTTTTTGTTTCTGATATGTCTTTTATAGAAAATTATCAAATACGTGTTTACTTCCTTTTTTTAAGGAATATATCAAGTACTTTATGAAGAATTTTGAAGTCAGCTATGGCTGGGAAAGGGGGATATTTAAACTCGAAGCTGTATTTTCAGCGATCAATCAGTCAGAATTCTGATATATGTATAGGCCAGTATATTAATATAGTGGCAGATTTTGAGTTTTTCCAACTTACGCATTTCAATACTGGTGCGGATCCCAACCATTAGGTCTGGGCCTGCTAAAGTGGCTTAGTCCCATAGTGTCTTTTTGGACTGATGTTACATCATGGTTTGACACTTGATCTGTTTTACTAAGGAGGATGAGAAGAAAAAGACCATGTGGAAAACCAGTTGCTGAAAGCCAAATAATAATGCTTGCAATCCCTCAGTCTTTATATGTACCTGAATTGGACAAAACAAGAACCCTATCCTACGTTTTAGATACAGCTCCTAAGGTAACAGAAGTTTGTTATTTTCGAAAATCGAAGCTTTGAATTTATCATGTTTCTGATCTATGTAGAACTGGCTAGAAAAATTTTAGCCTTCAGTCAAGTAGGGTAATTTTTCAACTTCCAGATTGCTACTGCAACCAAAATTCTGCGAAAAAAGCATCTATAAAGGGTAGACTGATCTATGGAAACAGATTGTCTTGGATACTGATGGGTATAAGGGGACTTATATTCAGAGGTTACCCAACAACTTATATCCGTGGCAATAGGATGTATGTCAGTTACCATTCCACCGTGGTCCAGGAAACGACTTTGAACCCGTCTTAAATTAAAAATGTGAAGGACGTTAGATGATTCCAAAGTTGGGGTTTGAAGACTAGTTCTGAGAGGAATGTGTTAATGCACACTGGACAAGGCAGTATTCACCAGTATACTGAACTTGCAATGCAGTACCTACCAAAGGTTTCAGGGTGCTATGGTTACTTCGTCGAGTATTCAAATGCTTTGATGAAAATATGTTCTGATTTTATAGCCCACCTATGTTAGACCTCACTTAGAATATTGCACCCAAGCAGCTAGTTCACATCTCACTCATGATTTTATTATACTCGAGCATTTCCAACAAGTGCAAACTCAGTAATTCACGGGCGCTTACAAACTCTCTTAAGTTGAACGATTAAAAGGTTTGATCCTTTCTCCTTTATCATATAACGCGAGGTGACCTTATATTTGTGTGCTAATGTGGTATGGCAACTCGAACTGATGTACGTATATACGTACGAAGTTCTACGTTGTTACTGACTAACTGACCTTATATCAGCATTCCGTGTCTTAAGTAATGGTTTGGGTGTCAACATGTCTTCTCCGTTTGCTCCCTCCAGAAATAATCTCTGGTGATACTACAGGAAGGTTCAAAAACCACTATCAAGTAAACTCAGAGCATGATCCAGTCTTTCATACTGAGTGGGCACTAAATGGAATGCCCCTGTTAGAAGAATGATGGTGGTGGCGTCGGTAACACGAAAACTGTCAGTGAAGAATGCGTCAGTGTAGTACATGCTGTCACAGGACGTGTTAAACACCCAACTGTGATTGTCAGAAAAGTAAAATGTACGTTGAAACGAACGAGGAGTGAAGTGCTACTTCATATCGATATGGGTATTCATGCTTCTACAGTAGAAACTGAAGACTTAGATAAAACCATCACCGTTATTAATAGACCCAGTGTGGCTGTCCTAAATGACGAAAAATGAACGACAGTACGGGAACAAAAAGCGAAAAAAGCTATAAGTGGCACCCACTTAGTTGGCAAGTTATTCGTGAACTCCCATTCTGAGTCACAAGATACTCTACCAAAGTCTGAAAGTAAGACAGAACTCCATCGTAGCATGGTTGGGGAAAACTTATTCTCATCGAGTATTATCGTAAGTAATTTGCTTGAATCAAACGACGCTGATCCCAAAATTAGACACGCGCATGGTTTGGAAAAGCCCTGAGCATTTATCCGTAGCATCTTCCCAGATAGCTCTAAAGGAGTCCAGGTCAAGAAATTGATAAGAATAGGTAAGAGGATCGATGAAATTGTTGAACCCCGACCATGTAGACTCCTTAAGGTTATCCTAGGGTCGGAGAAGCAACGTGATCTGTTAAGTAGCGCCCGTATTCACTACAATACCAATTTTCTGGTAAGACCTGATATATTTCTAGAAAGTAGAAAGTAGCTGATCTAGAAACCCGTTTACAAAATGGTGAGGAAAATCTCCGTTTAATGGGTTTTCCAATAGTCAGGTCTTGGAAGTGCATGCTACCAAGGCCTGTGAGGATATGGTCGCTTCCCTACGAGTTTTATATGCAGATGCTCGTAGTCTAAGAAATATACTATATGAACTAGGAGCATAAGTAGACGAATAAAGGCGTAAACTTGGTTAGTCTACGACTTCGACATTACTCCAGAATTATCTGGATACCACTACTTAAGCAGTGATAGGCACAAATGTAGGAAAGAAGGTGGCTTCCTATTATACATAGCCAATAATATAAATATCCGCTTCCAGGCTTCCGAACCCCATGATAGTGGAACTTGTGAAGTCATTAGCTATGAGCTCACTATCGGATATTGTACATTTATACTCCGTGTCATCTATCGCAGCCCAGTCTGTTTAGCTGATGACTTTATTTTAGAGCACATTTAGTTATGGAGTGTAAACAACAAATGCTTGATATTAAGAGGCTTTAATGCACCTGATATTAGTTGAACTGAGATGGCTATAGTAGGATCTATAGAATCCTTTATAGTATGTTCCTGTCAACGGTAATAGAGCATGCATTAGTACAGCGTGTATCCAAACCCACACGTTTCGGTTCAAACCAAGGTTTTTTTTTCATCAGACTTGGTAATCACTCATACGACTGAGGGTATTGCCAATCTAAGTATTCTTCAACTGTTAGTGAATAGTGATCACGCTGTTTTGTCATTGACGTTTAGAGCTAGTGACATGATATACGATCAGGTTAAGCCTCACCCAAATGTATGGAGAGCTAACATACTCGCCATTCAAGAGTGCGCTGCGGATCGATCAGTAGATACTGGCTCATCAGTTGAAGAAGCATGGTATTTATATAAAGACAAGCTTAGTTCACTTACGTCCTCGTTTCTATCATACCTAGTACCACGTAGATAGAATACCTGTCCACCATGTATAACTAAACAAGCCAAGACACTTCTTCGACGTAGGAAAAAGCATCGGAATGCATTCATCTCTACTGATTTAGAACAGTATAGATTTAGTTATTGCAACAGTAGGGATTTTTGTAAAGCGTTGTTAGGTAAGACTCGGAAGTCATATGGAAAAAAATTGATTAGGGGTAGTAAAAACAATGCGAAACGACTATTCTCATAGATAAAAAGGCAAACTCAGAGAAGTGATGGAATCTCATCACTTTTGGTAGAATGGAATTCGTTAATGTTGGCGAGATGATGCCGAAAAAGCTAAATCTTTTAAGTGTTTTCTATCAGCAATGAGGAACGACCAACGATTGACTGTGATTGTGGCGGCTTGATGATAGAACTTTTAGTTATTCAGAAAGGTTTTGTCTTAAGACTACTTCGGCATCTCAAACTTGATAATTCCAGTGGTCCTGACGATATTCATCCGAGGATTATGAAAGCTCTGGAGACTGTAATTGCTGAACCTCTGGCAATACTATTTGATGTCTTTGAGGCATTCTAAACTTCCCAGAGACTGAAAAGATGCGGTAATCAGTTCGGTGTATAAGGCGTGGAGCAAAGGCCTAGTTGGTAACTATCGATCCGTTAGTCTAACCAGTCTATTTGTTAAACTAGTGGAAAAGATTGTTCAGATGACTATTTTAAACTATGTGGAGGGACATGATCTTTTATCCAGGAAACAACACGGTTTTAGGAAATGCCTGTCATAGTTGACAAACCTGCTCATTAAAAAAGAAGATTGAGCTGCAGCAAATGGTAGTAATATTCCGGTAAATGTAATTCCCATGGATCTAATAAAGCCTTTGACAAGGTCTCTCATCTGGGTGTTAAATTAAAACTACGATTTGGGATCCCTTATGAAATCATAAACCGAATAAATAACTTTCTTAGTGACAGGAGACAGCGGGTAAGGGCAAGTGGAGCT